TAGAGATGTTGTTGTTATGTGCAGTGGAGTCATAGCGACCCCTCCTTGGGTTTCCGAGTCAGTATCACTACGGAAGTAGATCGCCCCATCTTCCTTCCGAGGAGTGGCTGGTGGGTTTGAACTGCCAGCCTTCTGGTTAGCAGTCAAGTGCCTTACGCACTAAGCTACCAGAGCTCCTTCCATAGAGATACTGCCTTGGAAACCCAAAGAGAGGTTGCTATGAGTCACAATTGACTCAGTGGCAGTGATGTTTTTTTTTTCACTAGGCAAAAGGTAACATATTCTGAGTTTAACTTCAAAACAAAACAAAAAACAAACCCACTGCCATTGAGTTGGCTGACTCACAGCAACCCCCATAGGGTTCCGAAGTTGTACATCTTTACAGAAGCAGACTGCCTCATCTTCCTCCTGTGGAACGGCTGGGGGGGGAGGGGGGTTGAACCACTGACCTGGTTAGCAGCCTAACGTCCTATGACTTTAATTAAACCATTGTGCAAATTCAGCTCCTAGACAAGCCCTGGGCCAGGCCCAAGCTTCTCCTGGAGAGCAGGTATGCAGTAGAGTAGCAGAAACGCAGGGCCCGCGGAGAGTAGGCAGAGGATGCTGGTGCCCACAGCTGCCTAAGCCCAGGAGACCCCCCTCCCAGCACTTCAGGCTCCTTGTGGGTGGAAGCCTTTTACTCCGTTAAGACAAGGACAAAAGATGGAGGGAACTGAACTCAGCAAAAGGGAAAGTAGAGTCCCTGCAAACTTGCTCTGGAGGACACGTGTCTCCTCCTGCTGGGGCCAGCTCTCAGCTGAAAGAGCTCATGAGTAATTATTGCAAATAGCAACACCACTTTGAGTAGCAACTCAAAAACCAAATTCACTGCCATTGAGTTGAATCTGACTCAAAGTGACCCGCACTGGGTTTCTGAGGTGGTAAATCTTGACAGAAGTAGATTGCCCAATCTTCCTTCCATGGAGTGGCTGGTGGGTTTGGACTGCCAGCCTTCTGGTTAGTAGTCAAATGCCTAAAGCCACCAGACCTCCTTCATTTTAAATAGAGAGGAAAAAAACAAAAAAACAAACTCACTGCCATTGAGTTGATTCTGACTCATAGTGACCTACTTTTGAGTTTCTGAGGTGGTAAATCTTTATAGAAGTAGATTGCCCAATCTTTTTTCTGTGGAGTGGCTGGTGGGTTTGAACTGCCAACCTTCTGGTGAGCAGTCCCAATGCCTTAGGCACATCCCTATTTCTTTGAAACACTCCCCATGCCTTTCATTTGTTCTCATGGCAAATCTGGGGAATAAGGAGGCAGGTGGAATTGTCCCCATTTTGTAGACCTGGAAGTAGAGGCACAGATGTGACATGACTTTCTCAAGGTCATACAGGGGTTTTGTAGGAGAGCTAACTTCCAGGCCCAGAAACTTCCCACCAGACCTTGAGACCAAGAGAGGAGGCCAGTCTATGGCAGAAAAGTCCTAATGAGAGAAGAACCACAGCTTGACCATGGTCAAGATGGTCTCGGGGCAGCTCGCCTTCCTGGCTCCACTCTGGATCAGAAAGCAGGAGCTCTGGCCAAACATGTAGAAAACCCAAGGCTAGCTCCTCTCCTTCCAAGCCAGTTACATTGGCCTTGTGCACAGCCTCAGGGCTGGGCCTGCCTAGCCCTGTCGCCTGAGCCACTTTGTGTGCTAAGTTTATCTCAGTAATAAACATAATGACAATAACAACAATGATATGATAAAGTGACTTTCTGTGGTAGTTATGGTTGTGTGTCAACTTGGCTGGGCCTGATTGAGTGGCTGGGCGGCTGATGTAGTTATTCCCCATGGTGAGATTGGTAATTAACTCCATGGTGGAATCTATTGGAGCAGCTGAGCAGCTGCTTTAGGGATGTGGTCTGCTTCCAGTATATAAAAAGCAGCTTTGAGGAAAGTCTCCAGCTTTTTGGCATGCTTGAACGCTGCATGTAGCTAAGTCATTGTTTAGTCGCCTGCCATGCCTTAATGATCTTGGGACTTTTTCTGGACTTGAATCAATGGCCTGCCATGTGGTTTGGTAATATCAGGACTGTGCCTTTTTATTTGTCAACGTTGGTTTTGTCAGCCTCAGCAGCCAGCAGCTGCCTGAGTGAAGAAAAGCCTCCAGCTTCAGTGGGCTGGGAGCAGGAGGCAGAGCTGAAGCCCAAGGTTGAGGGGCTTTCACCTAGCCCCTATAACCTGGCACTTTGAATTTGGACTTCTAGCCTTCAAAATTGTAACAGAATAAACTCCTACCAAGCTGGGAGCTCTGGTGATGTAGTGCCTAAGACATTTGATTGCTAACCAGAAAGCTGGCAGTTTAAACCCACCAGCCGCTCCTTGGAAGGAAGGTTGGGCAATCTACTTCCATAGTGGTACTGTCTTAGAAACCCAGAGGGGTCGCTATGAGGCAGTTCTGACTCAACGGCAGTGGGTTGTTAAAGCTATTCCACCTGTGGTATTTCTGTTAGAGCAGCACAAAGTAACCAAAACACTTCCCCAAGGCACATGGCCAGGGAAGGGCAGGCCTCAGCACTAGCATCCAAGGTCTTTGGCCTCCAAGGCCAGGCCATTTCTCTGAAGACAGTGAGGACTGGCCAGGCTGGTCCTGGACTGCTGATCAGAAAGAGAAGAAGCTCCAGGGGGTAGCTTCTCTGAAGAAGGAGAATTCTAAACAACATATTGAGGGCAATCCTCTCAGCTTTTGCAAAAGAACTAAAAGCTTCTTCAAGACACAACTGCTGACAGAGAGAGGGAGTGAGAGAGGTGCTGTGGTCCCCCACCCCACCCTGCCTTACTCTGTGAGGTAGCCCTATTTTCCCATGCAGGGGCATGAGGGGCCTGTTTCTAAGTAGCTTGTGACACATGTTCCCGGTTCCTGTCACAAACACCAAGTGACTGTGGACTGCCCCTTAGATCTGTCCCGTGAAGACCATGGGGTGTGATTTCCAAAAGGAGTCTGGAAATGTGGCAGGGAATTTGCCACGTGAGCTGAGGGTCAGAGAATGCCTCCTGGGCCAAAGGCTGCAGGCTTGAGATGAGAGCAGGGAAAGGGAGAGTGTGAAGAACAAGCCAGAGAGAGGTCATCGGTGGAGAAATGGGGTGGGAGTGCAGCCCAGGCAAAGAGTACACTCCAGAGCCCAAGAAAAGGGCTTATTAAGCTGGAGGAACTGAACAAGCTACAGGAGCTCCAGGGCACCTCAGGAGTGGCTGTGTCTTTGGCACTTAAAGATGTCATGTCTTTGGCACTTAAAGATGTCATGGTCATCACTGTGCTGGGGGTGAAGTCAAGACTGAAGATTTTCCTTTGGTTAGTGGTCAGGATTTTTCCCCAGGGTGCTGTCTTTTGGGTACTCTGCCCTGAGATGAGGTCATTGGAGGGATTCTGTCCTAAGACCTTCCTAGTGATGAGAACCAAGGGCTACACCTTCGATCCCTTGTAACCCGGGGCATGGCTGAAGACTCACTGGACACCTGGCTAGAGGCACACACCACACTTTCTTCTTTGTGGGATGACCTGGTGTCCTATCACTTGCCTTTGGTTACAGCTGCTAGACCATATTACCTGTTTTCTCTTGGAATCTAAAATGTTCTTACCCTAGGAGATGGTAGGCATTTTAAATTTTCACTGGGGCAGAGGCTGTGCTTGTGAGGAGTGAGATCTGGACTAGACCCCCACCCCAGGAATGGTGGTTTCATTTGGGAGAGGAGCCTGGGATGCTCTGAGTTAGGGTCCCACGATGGAGAGAACCCATCCCTTCTTAGGCCAAGGCCAAGCCCTTGCAGCTCCCACTGCTACCCCAGTCTCCTCAGTGGATACTACTTACAGTGATGAAAAACAGCTTTGGCTGCTCAGGACATGAGACCCAGCACAGGGTGGACATGGCACAGGAAGGGCATGATGTCACACGAGGTCAGGATATCACAGGGTGATGATGTCACATGGGATGAATGATGTCACATGGATCAGTGATGTCCCAGGATGACGTGTCACACAGAGAGGTGAGAGGAGCCAGGCATGAGAGGAAGGTGATGTGAGTAGACCAGGCAAGATACGATATGAACAAGGAACTGCTCCAGAGTCCCACACCCCCTGTCACCCAGCCCAGCATTTAAAGGTCTCAAACTACCTGATGAAGATGACACTGATAAGGGTTTAATATCAATGCCATGGACGTGTACTCACCCTCAGCCCCACTGTTCCCATGCCAGGTGCCCCAAGCACTCCATTCCAGGAGGAACCTATAGGACACAGGACTGAATCTTGGAGACCTACTTACCCTCCCCATCTGAGTCCCCAAGGGGGCTGGAGCACCAGAGCTCCTGTAGGGCCTTGGTCCATCCCTCTTCTCCTCCAAGACACCCTCTTCCCAACTTGAGGGCTCCTGGGTGGGCAGAATGTTCCCCCTGGATACAGAGTAGAGGGAGGAGGGACCACGCACCCATGGCCAGGTCCACCCAGGGACCTTGCCCTCCTTCCCTGGGGTTGGTACCACATGTAGTGACCTGGACCTCAGGCAAGCCTCGGGCTCAGATGGTGCCCTCATGAACCACACCTGCTTGTCTCTTCTTCCAGCCCCGTCTTTGTCTACCAACCTCCCCCAACCTAGCCCCACTCACAACAAGAGCTCATTCAGCAGCCATCTGGTAGCAGTCAGGAAGGCAGGGATTGGCTGGAAGGGAGAAGGGACATGCCATTAATACCTAGGCCCAAGTGCTTTCTCCTCACACCACAAAAGAGAGAAGAGAGACAGCCACACAGCCCCTCCTGATCCCACCACCTCCCACCCATTGCCTAGCAGAGGAAGCACAGGAAAGGTGTGTTATCTGGGAAATTCCTATTGTAGTTTAGACAATAGGGGGGTTAGACAATGCCCATCAAGAACACTGGTCAGATCCTCATCTTGATGAGCTGCTTGGTGGTGTTTTTAGGGCCACAGCTGCTGAGGATCCTCTGTGGTTTTTGTGACAATGTTGGAGGTGAAGTTAAGTGCATAGCAAGAAGGGGACTACGGCCTTATTCTCTCTGCCAGAGGTCCCATTATTTCACAAGCTGCCAGAATGATTCCCCTGAAGCCCCAAAGATAAGCTTTACAGGGAGTAGGAGCAGGTGAATGCTGGGAGCAAGGATGTGGAGAGGACATTTTGGTCAAAGTCAAGAGTAGGGTCTTGGGCAGACTCTCTGCAGCTGAGTGAGAACAGGGACCAGTGAAGCAGGCAATGCTGGCTGGTTTTGGACACAGTGATGACCTCAGTGTAGGATGAATGTAGGATAAATCAAAAACACCAAACTCAATGCCATTGAGTTGATTCCGACCTATAGTGACCCTAATTGGGTTTCTGAGGCTTTAAATCTTCGTGGAAGTAGATTGCCCTCTTCCTTCCATGGAGCAGCTGATGGAGTGTAGATAGGGTAGGGGATTTTCCATCTTGAGGGAGGAGGGGCTGGGGTGACACTCACATTGCTCAGGGGCTGGGCTGCATTGTGGTGGTGATTCGAGGGCTTACACATGGCCTGGTAGTCAAGCATGGTCACTCTGAAAACCAGATGAATATATGAGTCCAAGCCCATTACCACCCCATGCCCCTGCCTCGGAGGACACTTGCTAGCCGTGTTTTCATCCACCTGACTACTTACAAGTGCACACAAGTTGGGGGAAGGACGAGCAGAAAGAGCACACACTGCAAATTACATTTCTGGACTTTGAGTGGTTTAGGAAAGTGAACAGATAGCAAAGGGCCTGTTCTTTTAGCTGCATGGTTCCCCTTCTGAGGTCTGAGCTGAGGGAGGAGGCACCACCAGCAGTGATGCCCACATGACTTTCTGCCCCTCTCCACGTCATGTCTAGTCCTTGACTCCGGAAAGTTTGCTTTTGGAGCTTTTTGGGGCTTTCATTGTAGATTTTTGAGGCCAGGATCCCGAGGTCCATCTGGACGATTTAGCATCAGATCTTGTCTTGTCTGTGTCTTCTCAGACTGGGGGAAGCACATCCCACTTACTGGCTGAACATCCCCATGCTGAGCAGTTGGGTCATGACAGCACCATCCACCTCCCCCAGAAATCTTCCTGTCTGTGAAGGAGAGAGAGAGAGGAGAGAGAGAGAGAGAGAAGAGAGGGAGAGTGAGTGCAGGATGAAGTCTTCTAAATCTACCAGTCTAGCCTAGGCTTGATTCTGGCTCCAGACTTTTGTTGCCAGCTGGGCCTTTCCCTGTAGATGCCCATCAACGTAATACAAACTGAATCCATTCCAGCCACTCCCCTCTCCTTCAACCTGCTCCTCCTGCCCTATTCTCTATCTCAGAGCTTTGAAACCTGTAATTGTAACCCACTAGTTGAGGAGCTCTGGTGGCATAGTGCCTAAGGCCTTTGACTGCTAACCAGAAGGCTAGCAGTTCAAACCCACCAACCACTCCTCTGAAGGAAGACTGGGCAATTTACTTCCATAGTGATATTGCTTCGGAAATCCAAATACTTGATGGCAGTGAGTTTTAGAGTTTGAATTGGCTGTGATGGGGCCCTGGTAGCACAATGGTTAAATGCTCAACTAACAGAAAGTTTGGTGTTTCTAATCCACCCAGCGGCTCCATGGGAGAAGGACATGGTGACCTGCTCCTGTAAAGATCCCAGCCTAGAAAACTGCATGGGGCAGTTCTACTCTGTTATATGGGGTCACTATGGGTTGAAAATTGACTCGATACCACTTAACAAAAACAGTTGGCTATGGGAGCTCTGGTAGCATAGTGCCTAAGGCACTTGACTGCTAACCAGAAGGCTGGTGATTCAAACCCACCACCAGCCACTCCTTGGAAGGATAGTTGGGCAATCTGCTTCCGTAGTGATACCACCTTGGAAACCCAAGGAGGGGTCGCTATGAGTCGTGTCCGACTCCACAGCATATAACAACAACAACAACAACAACATGAAATTAATCTAGGGTTGCAATCAGAGTTTTTTTTTTTTTTTTTTAATGGTATAGAATTCCTTTGAACAATTCAGTGTGAATCACTTGCAGTAAGGCTAACTAAGGGTTTGTGAAACTTGAATTGTTATATATGTTCTATGAGTGTCTGTGTATGTATGCTGTGTCAGATGTAACATGTATTTCTTTCTCTGGGTCAAGGTAAAAAATGGTTCAAAAGCAGTACTTTGCTCAAACACTGGTATTCTTACCCGCAAGCCAAACAGGTTTGAGAACTTTGGAGTTGCCTTTAATTTCCCCTCCCTCTCCTTCCTCCCCTCCCACTTCCCTTCATCCCTTACATCCTATTAATCATTGTGACCTGTGGTTTGGTCACCCATCTTTCCAACTCCATGGATGATGACTTATCTAGACCTTTGTCCTCTCTCAGCAACCACATTGCCCTCCTAATGGCTCGCTCTCCCTGGTGATTGCTGTCAGAATGTTCTTGGACTATCCTCAAACACAGCTTGTGGGGAAGGGAGCGGGGAGACCAAGCCAATGCCAGGTCAGGTTCCCTTGTAGGGATGCTTTCCAGCTCTTGGGTCTGGCCCCAGTGCCCTCTTTCCAGGCCTTTGGTGAAGGGAACATATCAATTGAGCAGCAGGCTAGGCTGGAGGTGAGGGGACATGGCTCAGAGGAGAGAACCAGATCAATAAGGGAGAGGCAAAGAGTAAGGAAGAGAGTGAAGGGCCAGGGAGTGCAGAACCCAGTGGACACAAGCAGAATCTCTGGCCCTGTGTAATTCCCTCCACGAAAACTCTGTTCCATGGAACGCCTAAAATAATGAAATGTGTTGTAATACTAATAAAATGAAGTGCATCCCTGGTGCAGGAGCTGCGATCCACTTCAAGGAAGCCAGTGATTGTTGGGAGCCTGCCTTGGGGAGCCGAATGGACCCCAAAACACTTTTTAAGGAAATGGAAATTTATTCCAGACAGGGGCCCATTGCAGGGCTCCTGGGTACCAGAAGCAATCAAAGGAATGGTCAACAAGGGATTCTTATAAGTACTCACTTATAAGAATAGTAAATAATTAAAAAATAAGAGATGGTAACAGCGAATAAGGTTGCTATGACTGGGAATTGACTCGATTACCTAAGGACCTCTTTATCTAAGGACCCAGTTTCTCCTTCTTCATCCTGTTAAAGGTTGTAAGGACTAAATGATGACCAAATGAGAAATCACAGTGCATGTCTCTTGGTGGTGTTGGTAGATGTCATCAAGTTCATTTTTGACTCTTAGTCAACCCATGTAATAGAGAAGAACTGCCCGATTGGGTTCTCTAGGCTATAATCTTTACAGATTTTTGGTTGTTGATAGCATATTGGAGTAGTTGTCCCAGTAATACCCACATGGTTTATAATGCTATATTCAGATTTAAAATGTGTAAATAGAGGGCCACAGGCCTCTAGTTGGGCCCAACTCTGGAATCAGGGATGAAGTCAGGAAATACCACTCTCCAAAGGGGAATTTAATTACATTCTACAGTGTGCTTTGGAAAGTGCTCACTTATAAAATTAAAATGTCAAGATGCAACCACTATAAAATGTATGACAAAAATTGTAATCTCAGAAACCAATAAGTTAATGACGAAAGCAAACAGGGGGAAGAAAAAGAAAATTGGAGACAAAGGGGCATTCAGACTGGCAAAGCCTCTTTTATCTCTCTGCTTGGAATACCCTGACTACCCAAATCTGTTTTTCGTTAGCACCTTTTATTTGCAAGATAGTCACTCGCTAGGTGAGTATGACTCAAAAATGAATGAAATGGCCATTGACCAAGAGCTTGCAAACCAGTTTGGATAGACAGACAGGACTTTGATACTGATACCTTCAATAGAGGTATAAACAAGTGGGGGACCCATTTGTTCTGACTGGAGGTCCGGGAAAGTTTCTTTGAAGAGGGCATGGGCAGAACAGAGAAGAAGCAGAGGGAAGTCAAAGACATCCAAATCCTGTCTGTTCTTTAAGGTGCTGTCTTAAAGCACTTATTCCCTGAAGCTCTCCCTGATTCCTTCAGCTTGACTGATACCTCTCAGGCTGGGGATCACTTTCTGCTACTATAGTTACTGTGTGTGTGTGTTGTTTGCCTGTTACCAGACAGCAAGATCCTAGAGGGCTGACATCCCTCTTTCCACCCCCAATGCACTGCATACATCTCATTCACCTTCATGATTCAGGGCATATTTGCTGAAGGGCTGCGTGAGTGGTAGAATGAATGACGTGGGTATGCTGCTCCCTAGGAAGGCCCAGTAGAGTGGGAACAGTCTCTTGATCAGCTTGGCCAAAATTTCCACAAGCCTGGCCAAATTCTAGGATTATTCACTAACAACCCTATTCAGACACCTGATTCTGAGAAGGGAGATCACTGAGAGTAAGACAAGTATATCCTGAACACTGGAAAAATGTATCCTCCTCTGTAAATAACTTAATTTTCCAGGATATGTCACTGGCAGAGATTATCCATTCTTCCTTTCTTTAGTAAGGCAACCCTGACCTTAATTATGGTAGCATGTGCTCAGAGGCCCTGGATGGTGTAAACGGTTAATGGACTTGGCTGCTAACCAAAAGGGTGGAGGTTCAAGTTCACCTAGAGGCATGCTGGAAGAAAGACTTGGTGATCTACTTCTGAAAACTCAGTCACTGAATACCCTGTGGATCACAGTTCTACTCTAACACACATGTGATCACCATGAATTAGAGTTGGAGTCTACTCAAACAGCAACTGGTTGGTTAGCATGTGCTCAGCTGGAGGACTACATTTCCCAGATGACTTTGCAGCTAGGACTGGCCAATGTAAGCAAAAGTTACTTCCAGAAATCTCTTTAGAGGAGGATGACTCTGCTAAGAGGAGCACGTTTTGCTATAGCCCTCTTCCTTCTTTTTGCCTGAAAGGTGGACAACAAGGCAGGAGGTCCTATAGCCATGTTGTGATCTTAAGGATGAGGATACCTGGTGACTTCAGGAAGCCATTCCAGGCCTGGACTGCCTTCATCCAATCTTCTTTTATGCAAGAAAATAAACTTCTAATGTGTTTAAACTACTCCAGTGAGGACTCTATTCCTAGAAGCAAAACACAATTCCTAATGAAGTTGTATTTGCACTTGATCAGAGTGAATCAGTGTCCCAGAGCAGGTATACTAATCTAGTTTCTGAACCTATAAAATAAAGTGGCTAAGTCATTTGACTGCTAACCAGAAGGCTGGTGATTCAAACCCACCAGCCACTCCTCGGAAGGAAGATTGGGCAATCTACTTCCGTAGAGATACCGCCTCAGAAACCCAAGGAGGGGTTTCTGTGAGTCGGATCTGACTCAACAGCAGTGAGTTCGGTTTTGGTTTTTAAACCCTCAACTTTGGATCACATGTCAATTCAGTTCTCCCAGACTGGATGTGGACTGGCATGCCAGCTAGTCCCACTTTCTGAACTTGTCCCAGCACCCAAGCAAACACAGTCACAAAGACTATGCCTCTGTCTACCCACAGCACTATAAAGGGGTTCTGGAGGCTCCAGGCTTCTGTGCCTACAGCTTTACCTCTGTCTTGGTTCTTTCAGACCTAATCAAACTGCTTGCTGGCTCCTCTTTCATTGGGAATGTTGTTAGCTGCCATCAAGTCAGCCCCTCGACTCATGGTGATTCTAGGAGCAATGCAACCAAAACTGCCTGATCCTCTACCGTCCCCATGGTCAGCTGGGGATCAGATCATTGTGATCCATAGGGTTCATAATGGCTGAGTTTCAGAAGTAGACACAGGGCCTTTCTTTCAGCCTGTCTCAGTCTGGAAACTCCTGCTGAAACCTATTCAGCATCATAGCATCATGCAAGTCTCCACTGTCAGGCAAGTTGTGGCTGCACAATGATGTGCACTGGCCGGGAATCAAACCCCGGTCTCCCATGGAAGGCAAGAACTCTACCATGGGCCACCAATGCCCTCTTTCATTGGGGATAATCATAAGTAAACACTGATCCATTGGTTGCCTCAGCTCTGGGGCTGCATTAGAAGGGCCCAGGGTCTCCTGAATGTCAGATGTGTAATGAGCTGGGGAGGGAGGCCGGTAGTGAGGAGAAGCCCTGTGAGGTACCATCCTGGGGTCCAGGCAGGAAGCTGAT